GTCACTACTTATCGATAGTCACTTTGAATGTGAATGGCCTCAACTCTCCAATTAAAAGATGCAGACTGGCTGAAGGGATTAAAAAACAAAACCCATCTATTTGCTGCTTTCAAGAAACACATCTTTCCAACAAAGATGCATGCAGAATAAAAGTGAAAGGTTGGAAAAAGATATTCCATGCCAACAGAAACCAAAAAAGAGCTGGCATAGCCATCTTAATATCAGACAAAAGAAACTTTAACACAAAAACTCTTAAGAGAGATAAAGAGGGGTACTATATAATGATTAGGAGATCAATTCAACAGGAAGATGTAACTATTATAAACATATATGCACCTAATTACAGGGCACCAGTTTCTTTAAAAGATATGTTAAGGAACTTAAAGGGAGACTTAGACTCATATACAATAGTATTGGGGGACTTCAATACTGCACTTTCAGCAATAGACAGATCAACCAGACAGAAGATCAACAAGGAAACAGCAGATTTAATTGACACTATTGCCCAAATGGACCTAACAGATATCTACAGAACTTTTCATCCTACACTTAAAGAATGCACATTCTTCTCAGCAGTACATGGAACCTACTCTAGGATTGACCACATGCTAGGCCATAAAGCAAGCCTCAGCAAATTCAAAACAACTGAAATGCCATGCAGCTTCTCAGACCACAGAGGAATGAAGCTTGAAATTAGCAACTGAGTAATCCCTAGAGCGTATGCAAACACATGGAGACTGAACAACATGCTCCTGAATGAACAATGGGCCATAGAAGAAATCAAAACAGAAATCAAAAGTTTCTGGAAGTAAATGAGGATAACAGCACAACATACCAAAACTCATGGGAAACAGCAAAAGCAGTGTTAAGAGGAAAGTTTATAGCAACAGGTGCCTACATCAAGAAATTGGAAAGGCACCAAACAAATGAGCTATCAATGCATCTGAAGGATCTAGAAAAACTGCAGAAAACCAGACCCAAATCTAGTAGGAGAAGAGAAATAATTAAAATTAGGGAAGAAATCAACAAAATTGAATCTAAAAAAAAAAAACATTACAAAAGATAAGCAAACGAAGAGCTGGATTTTTGAAAAAATAAACAAAATTGACACCCCATTGGCCCAACTAACTAAAAAAAGAAAAGACCCAAATCAATAAAATCAGAGATGAAAAAGGGAATGTAACAATAGACACCACAGAAATAAAAAGAGTCATCAGAAATTACTACACAGAGTTGTGTGCCAGCAAACAGGGAAACCTATCAGAAATCGATAGATTCCTGGAATATACAACCTACCTAAATAGAACCATGAAGACATGGAAAACCTAAATAGACCCATAACCAAGTCAGAAATTGAATCAGTAATAAAGGCCCTCCCAACAAAGAAAAGCCCAGGGTTATTAATAAAGCAGCAGCTATCTCTGCTTCCTGGCTGGCCATGAGACCCTTCCTCTGCATGCACTGCACCATGGCCTGCCACTTCCCTGATCAGAGGCAAAACCAATGAGGTCATCTGAACTTGGACTTCACTGTGAGACAGGTAAATCTCTTTTCTTTATAAAGTACACAGTGTCAAGTATTTCAATATAGCAACAAAAATAGACTAATACAGATAATATCATGTAGCATTTTCTTTCTGTGCTAAATAGGGTATTTTTGAACATCATAAGGAATAATTTATTATGTAAAATTTAAATTTGTTAATTATCAAGTACATGGTTCATCTGTGCAAAACATTAATGGCCTCCTTATAAATATTTTGAGGTAGAAATGTTGAGTGGACAGAAGGAAGGCGATCAATTGCATGTATTTAGGTATGTTACTAGAGACAGGTAGAGGTGGAGAGGGAGGACAAGGGAGAAGAAAGGGAGGGAGGCAGATGAGGGAGGGCAGGAAACACAGGGTAAAGAAGAAAAGAAAATAGTTATCTGTGGGAGTTAAAGTGGCATCATTCACAGCAAAAAATCAGTACTTAGTGACTATGTAAGTCTTCTATTCAGAAATAAGGATACAAGTATACACTAGATGGAACAGATAAAAGTGGAAACATCTTAAACAGTCAGAACTGCTTGTTGGAGTAGAGATGTCAGTAAGATGGTGAAATAGGATTTTCAATTGCTCATATGCCCTGCGGAAATATCTATTTGAACAACTATATAGGTACAAAAATACCTTCACAAGAGCAAAGGGACAACAAGGTCAGAGATTACAGCAAAGCTGTAGCACAGAAATACAAGATACATTGAAGAAGATAAGAAGGACAGTTTTATATTAAAGGCAAAACCCTTTCCCAACTCTAGGCTGCACAGTATAGACAGAGGTGCCCTCCCTGTGAGGGAAGAGGAGGGAAGTGAACACTGGACTTCACCTCAGATCCCAGTACTGGGCTTGTTCCAGTAAAACCAGTGCCATGCTGGTACACATGGCACGCAGCTTCTTGGCCTTTCCCAGTGCCAGTGGGATCTAGACTCCAGGCCTGCTTGGTATATTTGGTTTCCAGGTGCACATCACTGGAAGGTTGACCTCAGTGGCCCTGAGCTTTGGGCGGGCCCCATTGTCAGGCTGTCTCTGGTACTGGGATGATCCCAGGAGCCCTAGGCTTGGTGCTGCCCCAGTACCGGGACAGCGCCCCCAGAATCAGGCTCCAGACCTCACCACATTCCCAGGCTTCATGCCTGTCCCAGCATCAAGCCAGACCTGGAAGCCCTAGTCATCAGGCCAGCATCTGTGGGCCCATTCTTCAGGACAGCCTCTGTGAATACACTCCCCACGTGTTTATGGTCTCCTCTATGGCCCTAGGTTCCAGGTTTGTGCAAGTATGGTCTACACAGCCTTAGGTGGCAGGCCTGCCCAGTGACAAGCTGGTCCTTATTGCCCTACCCTCCAGACTGGCCACTGTGGCCACATCCTCCAGAAGATTCAGGGGTTATACCCATTTCAGCAGAGCCCAGAACTAAGATGGCTCCCATGAACCAAAGACCCAGGACCCAGGTTAGCTATTGTGGACCTAGCCTAAAGGTCAGAAAAAGCACACAACTCATCCTTAGGCTAGCACTTACGAACCTAAGCTCTGGGCCTATCCCTATGGTCCCATACCTTAAGTCAGTCCCATGGCTCTAGGCCCCAGGCCAATTCCCATGATCCTAGGCTCCAGATCAGTACTCACAGATCAAGCTTCCTGCTTGCCTCAGTACTAAGCTGGCCCTAGACAGGGTTAAGGGTTAAGGCCCACACCAGTGCCAGGTCAGTCCTTGCAGACTGATGCTCCTGGATCACCCCTATATAGACCAAGGCTCCAGGCCAGTAGACGCAAACAGCTTAAGTAGTCATTTTTACTACCACTTACGGCAGGGAGATAGAATGAAGAGCTTGAGTTCAGTCAAGTTAACTGCTTGCTATCAAAAGAAAGCCCACATTGCTTACAGGAAATATCTGAATTCCAGAGTCATTCACAAGAACCATGATATAATTGAAAATGACAGGAATATACAACCAATACTCAAGAGAAAAGTTAATCAACAGAGGTGAAAGCCAATGTGACCCAAGTGTTAGGATGAACAAACCCTTTAAAGAAATTTTTTATAACTATACTCAAGAACATGAAGATCCAACTGCACATTCCAGAATTGAAAAATACCATACGGAAACTTAAAATCACTATGGATTTTAATAGATTATAAATAACAGAAGAGCTGATGAAAATAAGGGTGGATCAACAGAAATGATCTAATATGAAGAATGAAGAGAAAAACATTATTTTAAAAGTGTTAACTGTCAAGGATCTATAGGCCAATATCTGCAGGTTTAATATAAGAAGACTTCAGAAAGTTCATGGGAAAATGGAATTAAAAGAGAAGCTTAATTTAGTCTGTACAAATTTTGAAATCCATGTACAGTTTTTTTTCTCTGAATTTTTGTTTTAATAATAAGCATTTTCCATGAACTTTTTTTAAGGACCTCTTCAAATATGTGAACCTGGAGTCCTTAAAGAAGAAAATAAAGAAAAAAGTTTCCAAAAGAATAGTGGCCCCAAATTCCTCAAATTCCAAAAAAGAGAATTCTTAAACATTGCTTTGGAGATGTAAATTGATTTAACTTTTTTTTTTTTAAGTTTTTTTTTTTTTTTAAGTTTTTTGACAGGCAGAGTGGACAGTGAGAGAGAGAGACAGAGAGAAAGGTCTTCCTTTGCCGTTGGTTCACCCTCCAATGGCCGCCGCGGCCGGCGCGCTGCGGCCGGCGCACCGCACCGATCCGATGGCAGGAGCCAGGAGCCAGGTGCTTTTCCTGGTCTCCCATGGGGTGCAGGGCCCAAGCACCTGGGCCATCCTCCACTGCACTCCTGGGCCACAGCAGAGGGCTGGCCTGGAAGAGGGGCAACCGGGACAGAATCCGGCGCCCCGACTGGGACTAGAACCCGGTGTGCCGGCGCCGCTAGGCGGAGGATTAGCCTAGTGAGCTGCGGCACCGGCCCTGATTTAACTTTTATAGAAAATAATTTTGTAATGTGATTCCAGAATCTTAAAAAAAAAAGTCATATGTACTTTGAACTAGTAATTTCACTTATAAGAATCTACATCAAAGACATAAAGTAAAACCTTTTCAGACATGTTCTTCAAGGCATAATTTATAATAGCAAAACTCTTTATTATCCAGTAATAGGCTAATAGATAAATATTTAGGCATATGAGCTCTATTTAGTAGAGCATTAAGCCTTGCATATAATGTAAATTAAGAATGTTATCTCAGAAAATGAGCTATTAAGTTGAAAAAATATTTAGGCATAGTTACCTAAATATTGCATAGTGAGAAGACTGAATGCTTTTCATTTTCTTTTTTATCCTTTTCTGTATTTTTAAAAATTCTATAATGAGAATGTATTTATTCATATGGTTAGAAAACTATACAAGTATCTACCAATACAGACCTCTAAATTTATGTCACGCACACCCCAGATACCTATGTCTTTAATATTCTTGCCTTCACTTAACCCTCAGTTTTACCTTGGTCCAGAGTCATTCCCAGTCATATTCAGATTGAGCTCTCGGGGTTTAGTAAGCTCTTTGTCAGCAACCTGTGTTCTTGACTTAAATACAGCTTGAGTTCTTAACCTAAAAAAACAAATTTAGAGAATTTTTAAACTTCTAGAGCCTGATAAACTAAATAGTAATACTTTGAAGACCATGTTCTTCCAGCTTGATCTGCAGGAATTTTTTTAAAATTCAAACTCAATCTGGAGGCCAGAACTGTGGCGCAGCAGGTTAAGCCTCCACCTGCAGTGCCAGCATCCCATCTTGGCTGCTCCACTTCTGATCCAGCTCCCTGCTAATGTGCCTGGGAAAGCAGTGGGAGATGGCCCAGGGGCTTGGGCCCCTGTACCCACATGGGAGACCTGGATTAAGTTCCTGGCTCCCGGCTTCGGCCTGGCCCAACCCAGGTTGCTGTGGCCACTTGGGGAGTGAACCAGCAGATGGAAGATCTCTCTCTCTCTATTTCTCCCTGCTTCCCGTAATTATCAAAATAAATCTTTTACAACCCCCCTCAATCTGTCAAAAATAAATGGGTGATTCCAAATACTCATTGCAAGTAAGTTTATTTGCATCATGAGAATAAAAATGAGAATTTTTTAAAACTCTAATGATCACCAACTCTGTCTAACATATATAGGAGGCATCTTCTTCTCATACTGATATATCAAAAAGCTGGGGCTACAGCTCACTGACCAACATATTCCCCCAAAGAACTGGAACGTGTTCTATACATCAATGTTAACTTAGCACCATAATCACACATGTACTGAAGGAAGGCTGTTTAAGAAATTAGCACAAGGATCTTCTTCTGTAGGAAATACATGACACTACCCATTCTTTCAGAGTGTGTGTGTGTGTGTGTGTGTGAGTACATTTAACCAATGTTCTCTCCTTATCTGTAAAAGTATGTTCTCAAGCCATTAACATCATTATTTTCATTGTTATCAAAAGATATCCTTATAATTGCAACTAACTATGCTCAGTGATACACAAAGGATGTAGATTAGCTACCCTCAGGAACTTACAGTTTAAGACCAATATTTGGAAGTGACACACTGATAGGTAGGTAAATGTCAACGTAAAATGTTACAATCAGGCAATTAAATGTCAATGCAAAATGTTAAAATCAGGCAATTATGAGAAAAGAGTGTAAAAATGACAGTTTAGTGACAGAACAGTCTCTGCAACAGCAGTAGAAACGATGAAGGGGTGCATTTTATGTATATTATTGCACTGAACCTCACACTCTTTTACCTACTTTTACCATATGTATCTACAGGTGACTAAAGGGAGGCACTGGCACATAACCTACCTGAGGTGACACATTTTTAATTGATGAAGACTGTATTTTTTATTACAGGTATAGCATACATATATATCATATTTTAAAAGTGACAAAGGTAAATAATTATAATTAGCCTTGATTTTTAATTTATTACATATATACTACATTGTTCCAAAAAGGATTTAAGGTAGTTCTATCATAAATAGTATTTTAGATACATCCTCTCTGATAAATTAAGAAAAGGCTCACAAAGATAATACTCTTTTGAAATCTCTTATTGACCATCATGTAATATCAAAGTGGTAAAGTGAATCATTAATGATATATTTAAGTAAATGTTAATGTCATGGTAAATAAAGTGACAGGCTCATCCCCAAATTCTGAACTACTATAACAATTCTGTACTATACACTTGGTATTCAATCACAGAATGTCCTCCCAATAAATCTAAATATCCAAAGCACCATAAACAATGCCTTCTGCGTGGCAGATTTTAATTCATAATTGAATTGAAGTAAGATTCCTTGGGCCATTAAGTGTTAAGTACAATAAAAATACATAAAAGCTCAGATTATATATAAAGAGTGAGACTATGTATAATAAGATGAGGTATAAGATCAGGTACTTCCTCTATATCATTTTATACAGAGTTGAGGACATATGAAATATTTGCTGAAACAAGGAGAACTAAACTCACTTAAAGACCAACATTATAAATTAAACAGTAAGGTGCTACTTTTGTATATATGAAAGATTTCAAAAAAGTTCATGAAAAATGTGTACTGTGAAAAAACCATGCATAGATTTTGAAAATTTTTGCACCAAAATAAACTTAAATTTTAATTCTATATTCCAAGAACTTTTTGAGATATCTTCATATTCAATAACTTAAAATAGAGTTTGCTAGCTAAGAAAAAAAAGACCTAAAAATTTTAGGGAGTAGAATTTTAATTGCACTGTAATAAATAGATATGGTATAGATAACTGGAAAAGTAGAGCAAAGATATTTAAATCAGAGGAAAAGGTATGTCTTGAAGAAGAAATATAAATAGTATGTTGGGAAGATCTCAACACAAGATTATCTTTAGAAAAAGTATTATTTCTTAGGAAAAATGGGGCAATGGGTAGAGAAGCTTTGATTACTAAGTTGAATAAACATTATGTAATAGGAAATTATTGTGGGTTTTTAAAATTTAGAAGTGGCACAATAACAGAATATATAAGGGAGATTAATTTGAGATATTCTTGGTATATGATACTAATATGCACAAGTTTGAATTTCAAGTGACTCATAAGTCACAAAATTACATAAATCTAAAAAGTAGGCTAGAGAGTAGGGCAACTCTCAGCCTAGAAATATGAATTGTGATTCTGAGTAGTCAAGTAGATAGATTTAGCTTCCTGGTTCTGGGTGCACTAGCTAACAATGGTAAACCACAGTGGAAGTTACACAAGAGAACGAGAGGTGAAATCTGTTCAATTAAAAATTCCTTGAGCCTCTGCTTAAATGGGCATATTACTTAGATATTTAACATATATAAATTACATTGTAAATAAATGTCTGAACATACCAATTGAAAGATAGAAACTGGTACACTGGGTTAAAAACATGACTCAATAAATGCAGTATTTAAGAAACTCACTTGAAAGTTACAGTACATGTAGGGTGAATGTAAAAGGTTGAAAAACGTATACTTTGTAAACATTAATCAAATGAAAGCATAAATGGTTTTATTAATATTAGATAAAGGAGACTTTAGAGAAAAGAAAATTACTAGGGATGGAGAAGGTCATCATATAATGAAAAAATGGTCTATACACTAAGAAGACACATCATTTTTTCTTTTTTTTTTTTTTTGAAAGATGAGGAGGGAAAGAGGGTGAGAGAAAGACTGGCAGCAGGCATCTGCTGGCTCACTCCCTACATGTCTGCAATTGCCAGGCGAGGCCAGGCCAATGCTAGGAGCCAGGAAATCATTCCAGGTATCTCACATGGATGGCAGGGACCCAACTACTTGAGCCATCAGCTGCTGCCTTTCAGGGTGAGCATTAGCAGGAATCTAGAATTGGAAGCAGAGCTGGGACTTGAACCTAGGCAGTCCAAAAAGAACTGCTAGTATTCCAACTGCTGGTTTAACTGCTAAACCAAAACTTGCTCCAAACACAGCAGTGTTACATGTGTAAGCACCAGACAATAGAGGTATAAATATGTAAAACAAAAGCTGATAAAACTGAAAGGAAAAATAGACCTATCTGAAATTGTTGTTGGAGGTTTCAAACTCCCCAAACTGCCAAAACAACCAGGTAGAAAATCAGCAAGGACATAGAAGAACTCAATGTGACTGTATTGCACGGGCTGACTCTTTCAGAATACTCCTCCCAACAACAGCAGGATACATATTCCTTTCAAGCACTCATGGGAGATGTACTAAGAGAAAACATGGCCTGGGTGGTAAAAGAAACTTCAACAGATGTGAAAGAACTGAAATCACAGAATGTGTTATATAACCATAGTGGTATCAAACTAGAAATCATAATAAACGAAGTGAGGAAAATCTTGAAAAACTTGAAAACTAAATGTAGCACTTCTAAATAACCCAAGGCTTAAAGAGGAAATCTCAAAGGAAAATTTTAAAAATACACTAAATTTTATGATTATGAAAATAGAGCAAATTAACATATGTGGGACACAACTGAAAAAATACTGAGAGAGGGAGCTCACTGCATTAATTACAGTAGAAAAGAAGACAACCTTAAATAAATAATCTAAGCTTCCACACTTTAACAAATTAGAAAAAGAAGAATAAGACAAATTCATAGCAACTAGAAGGAAGAAATTAACAAAGAGCATAAGTCAATGAAATTTAAAACAGAAAAACAATAAAAAAATCAATGAAACAGAAATCTGTTTCTTTGGAAAGATAATTAAAATTAACAAACCTGTAGCAATACAGACAGAAAAAAATAGAGAAGACAGAAATTACCAGTATGCAGAAAAGAACAGGCGATCTACTTACAAGTCCCCCAAACATCCAAGAAGTAATGAAGAACCAAGTCTGTACACCTAAATTTATATAGTCTATATTCCCAAAGTCGTACCTATGAAAATTGTATTCATAAATAAAAGCTTTAAAAGAAACAAAAAAGAATTATACACTACGACCAAGGGGAATTTAGATGCAATTGTTCAGTTTCTCAAAAAGCACAAAATGACACAACTCATTCAATATCAGACATCTAATATGAATAGATCCATAGAGCTAATAATTAATATATTATATAAATACTTATAAATTATATTAAATATACTATAATTAATAATTAATTATATAGAGTAATTAATTCCTTACTTACTGAAGGAAATTAAACTTTTAACTCAAAAATTTCAAAAAAGAAATCTCTAGGCCCAAATAGTTTCATTGTATAGTTCCACAAACATTAATAGAAGAGTTAACATCATCCCTACAAAATCTCTTCTGAAAAATAGAAGAGGAGGGAAAACTTCCCAACTCATTTTATGAGTCCAGCATTATTTTGATACCACACTCAGACAAAGACAGTACCAAAAAAAAAAAAAGAGAGAGAGAGAGAGAGACGATTATCCCCCTCAATGCTGGTGCAAATATGCAAATAGCCATAACAAAATATAGCCGACCATCTATATTTGTGGTTTCTGCACCCATACATTCAATCAACCACAGAATGGAAATATTAGTAAAAAATTTTATTGGCACTGAACAAATTAATTTTTTTTTCCTTATCACTATTTTCTAAGCAATAGAGTACAACAGCTGTTAACATAGCATTTACATTGTAAGTAATCTAAAGATGATGTATACTATACAGGGAAGATAGATGTAAATTATACACAGATATTACATTTTATACAGGGGACTTGAAGATTTGGGGGGGATCCTGGACCCACTACTCAAATGCCTTATATGAAATGACTCCCAGGGATGACTGAATTAGTGAGTTTAGTAGAATATAAAAAGAATTATACACCTCAAACAGTAGTTTTTACGTTGTGTGTGGGTATGTGTGCAAACTGTTGAAATCTTTACTTAGTATAGAGTTGGTCTTCTATATAAAAAGTTAATTAAAATGAATATTAAAGAAGAATGGGATGGGAGAGGGAGTAGAAGGTGGGACAGGAGTGAGGGAGGGAGGTTGGGTATAGGGGGAAAAACACTATATTCCCAAAGTTGTACCTATGAAAATTGTATTCATAAATAAAAGCTTTAAAAGAAACAAAAAAGAATTATACACTACGACCAAGGGGAATTTATTTCAGAAATGCAAGGTTGTTCAAAATTCTACGAGCAACATAATCTATCATATTAGCAGACTAAATAAGAAAAATCATGTGATTATAAGAAGCATCTGAAAACAATTCATAAAAGATATTTGGCAAAATTCAACAAATATTCATGATAAAATAAACCTTATTTAATCTAAAGAAAAGATAAACTGGTTTCATAAACATTTTTTAACTTTTGCTCTCTGAAAGATTCTGTTGGAGCCAGTGTTGTGGTATAGAGCATAAAGCCTCCTCCTGCAATGCCAGCATCCCATATGGATGCCAGTTTGTGTCCCAGCTGCTCCACTTCTGATCTAGTTCCCTGCTAAAATGGCCTGGGAAACGCAATGGAAGATGACCTGGTATTTTGGACCCTGCTGGCCCCATGGGAGATCAGGATGAAGCTCCTGGCTCCTGGCTTTGGCCTGGCTTAGTGCTGGGCAAAACAAACAAATAAATCTCTCTCTCTCTCTCTCTCTCTCTCTCTCTCTCTCTCTCTTTTAATAGGAAGATTCTGTTAAGAGATTGAAAAGACAAGCTACAGACCAGGAAGAAAGTTGAGCAATCCACGTATCTGACAAAGGACTCCTATCTAGAATATATGCAACACTCTTAAAGCTCAAGAGTAGAAACATCCAAACAATCCAGTTAGACTACAGACAACAGATATTGAAAAAACAATTGAGTCAAGAGGACTTAAAGAGCGTTGAACCAGCATTGTCCAATTTCACTATCAGGGAAATGCAAGTCAGAGATGCAATAAATCTTTAGACACATATTAGGCGAGGTCAGACAAAAATTAGTGGCTACATCAAGTGCTAAGAACGATGTAGAGTAACAGGATCTTTTATACACTGCTGGAGAGAATGTTTTATAGACTAATGTAGTGTAAGTTAAATGTGATGTAGCAATCAGAGCTCTAAGTTTTCATCAATAAAAATGAAACCTCAGTTCACACAAAAAGTCGTACATGGCAGCTTGTGACTGTAACAGAATAATAGGAAGGAAATGTCAGTGGTGACAAAATGGTTCTGTATTTTGCTTGTGGTGCTAGACACACATGTTGTACAATGTTTTTGTGCTAGTTTTGATACTGTATTATAGTTAAGTCATAACCATGAACTCTGGGTGAAGAGTACATAGAACCTCTTTTTTTTTGCAACTTCCTGCAAATCTATAATTATTTCAAGATAAAAGTTTCTTAAAATGTCTATAAATATGTATAAGTGCTGTCAATTTATACACATACAAAATTGCTCAGAAGCTGTGTTTCTTAGCTCTCTTTTCAAAGCTAAGATGATAAAGAGAACAATATAGGCTTTATCATCATTATGCAGCATTATTTAAATATACAATACTATATAAATTAACATGATGCCTATTCTAAACTTATCTATTCTCTGATAGACTATGCCTTTTTAAAAGTAAAGACCATTTTTGATTCTTTTTTTAAATTTTAAGTACCTAGAACCATTCCTCTCATATCATAGGCATCTAATAAACGTTCATTAGATGAACTTCTCAGGAGAGTCTCTGGTATTGGAGGCTTTGAGAGGCGGGCCACAAAAATGAAGCAACAGCTCAGCCTTTGGTGACAATCTTATTGTAAGAGCTTTCATTTTTACTTACTTTAAAAGCCTTGAGGGCCGGCATTGTGGTGCAGTGGGCTAAGCTACCATCTAGGACACTGGATACTATATCAGAGCACTGGTTGGAGTCCTGGTAGCCCTTTCTCTGATGGAGCTCCCTGCTAATGAGCCTGAGAAAGTAGCAGAAGATGGCCCAAGTGCTTGGACCCCTGTACCCATGTTGGCGTCCAGATGAGTTCCTGGCTCCTGGCTTCAGCCTGGCCCAGCCCTGACCATCACAGTCATTTGGGCAGCGAATCAGTGAATCAGCCATTTGGGATGGAAGGTCTTTCTTTCTCTCTTTTCCCCACCTCTCACCTGCCTCCATCACTCTGTCTTTCAAATAAATAAAATAAATCATAAAAAATAAGCCTCAGCCAGTGCTGTGGCTCACTAGGCTAATCCTCCGCCTTGCGGCGCCGGCACACCGGGTTCTAGTCCCGGTCAGGGCGCCGGATTCTGTCCCGGTTGCCCCTCTTCCAGGCCAGCTCTCTGCTGTGGCCCGGGGGGTGCAGTGGAGGATGGCCCAAGTGCTTGGGCCCTGCACCCCATGGGAGACCAGGAGAAGCACCTGGCTCCTGCCTTCGGATTCAGATCTGTGGCGGCCATTGGAGGGTGAACCAATGGCAAAAGGAAGACCTTTCTCTATGTCTCTCTCTCTCACTGTCCACTCTGCCTGTCAAAAAAAAAAAAAAAATAAGCCTCAAGGTTTCAACAAATAGGACTATCTGACCATGAAGGAAGAAAAAGACTTCTAATGCCAAAAAAAAAAAGGAGGTGTACACTGAGGGAATGATGTCAAGATGGAAATTTCAAAGGATTACAATTGTAAAAATATTGGACAGAAACTATAGTGAAAGACAGCTGCCTCCAACAAGTAGTAGAGAATAAGTGAACACTATTGTGTCTATGTGGGACACATGTGCCTGAAAAGAACATGTACAAAGAGGAAACAGCAAGTTTGATGTAGGAAAGAATTGTAAGCATATATAAACTTCCTTATGGCAACTTGTACTTGATTATTTTGTTAAAGATAGAAACACCACGTTTTATTGTGTTTTAAATATAATTGTGTATGACTTGTTAATTTTTCTTGAAGAAGACAGCAAACTTTATGGCTCTGCATGCAAAACTATGTAATATCAAAATAGCAATATCACTTTGATACACTGTCCTTGGGGAAAAATTGTTAAGGGAAGAACAGTCTCAATGTGGATAAGTTTGTAAGAATTGGTTATTAAGACAGGTTATGCTTCATGATCAGAAAAGATTGAATTTAGAAGCCTCCCATCATCTGTTATATTATATATTATGGTGGCTAGACATAAATGTGGAATGATGACAGTTAATCACACTTCTTCACATTCTGATTCTACAACCAAAATTTTCAAGCTTTTACTTAATGCCTTAATATTCTCAACAATGACACCAAACAGAAAAGGATGTAAAATCATTTGAAAATATTTTTTTGGAATACAGCAAAATTACACTGGACAGCTCAGAAGTAGATATTCTAAGCTAACATGTTGGAAGACATGGTAATCTTTCAAGTCTTCCATAAAAGACAGGGAATATACTTCGTAGTAGTCATGGATGGTATGCACTTTGAGCAAGCCAAGATATGAGAAACCTCTATTGCTCCATGTCTGCTAGAGTAACACACAAGCCATTTTACACTGTGTTCTCCAAACCACAGGCACGGTTGAAAGAACAAGGGGACTCACCAGTTGTAATCGAGTCGAGACTGGTGAAGCTGCTGTTGTTTTAGGAGCAGCTTTGTCTCTTGCTGGGCCAGCAGCTGCTGAAGGCGTTCCTTTTCAATTTCCAGTTCCATTTTCTGAAGCATCAGCTGGTGTCTTCTATCTTCTGAGAGTTGCTTTTTGACATCAGTCTCACTGGGCTGTTGTGCCCCTCTGCCATGCATAAGAGATGTCCAAGAAAGCCCACAATAACTGCATGATTCCTGATGTGTCTTGGAGTATTGAGGGGACATGTTTGTAAAATGGTTCTCATGAACACAGTCTGCATTTTCACAAAGTCTCCGATTACAACACTGACTCAATGCAGTACGCTTAAGGTGTGGACATTCCTGCATCCTCAATTCTTCTGGAGCAGCTTTGTCTGTTAGTGCTGTATCCACTGATTTTCTCCCTGGGGATTCATAATTACATGTTCTGGTCTCTGGTGGTACCCTCTCTAGACTCTCTTTGGGATGATGAAGAATTGGTTTCAAAGAGTTATTCCTAAACTCCATCAAGGATTCTGAAGCTGAGGCCTGGTTTGCAGACTTAGGTCTTTGCTTGGCTTGATAGTAGGCTTGTGGTTTGGCTACACTCAAGTAGGAACCATCTAGTTCTATAGATGAAGACCGGAGAGTGCTTTTCTTATTGGGCCTCTGAAAAGAAAAACAGGATCACTTGTTAAATTAGAATACAATGAAACAAGTATTTCTTTTGGCTTTTCAGAAATCAATGGTTTATGGGTACCAAAACAAAGCCATTTTGTCTTTCTTGAATATTAAATGACAGCATTCACAAAGCTAAAGACTTGCCACAAAACTGCATACATTTTCAAGCAATCTACATTTCAGTAAATCTCTATATAACAATGAGACAAAGTGTTGCTACATGCTGCTTCAGCAAAATCTTTGATGTTTTCAGGATTGCAAATGAGGGTTCCATAAAAGCAACTTTGAGAAAAGGCAGAATAAAGGTTAACATAGTGTTTACTTTTAAAGATTTAATTAAAACACATGAAGCCCCCTTAAGTACTCTCATTACCCATTATAGAGAATGAAATTGGATATAAAACATTTTACCTTATACTGAAAGGTATGTTACTACTAGAAATTTAATAAGTTTTTAACAAATATCTTTATGGGACACAGATAAAACCAACCATTTTCAACCAAATATAATGTTAATCAAGAGTAACTATTTAAATACAAAACATCCTTAATTTCTGTAATATTTCAGTTAAGTTATTCAAGTGACTATGGTTGGAAAGAATGCTGGCAGAAACAAGACAGTTGTAAATTACCTCTGACAGGTAATAGCAAGTGAGTTTTTCTAACATTTTAGCCATAAGCCTGTTCTATCAGTGAGAGGAAAACTTAGCCTGTACCAATGATTCTCAAACTTTTAGTGTCTATCAGAATCATCTGGAAGGCTTGTTAAACATGAAACTCTGACATCATCCTCAGAGTTTCTACCACTTGCTCTCTAGGGCAGAACAGAGAATTTGCATTTCTAACAAATTCCCAGGTGATGCTGATGTTGCTGATCTGGGACTACATTTTGAAAACCACTGGTTTATGCCACGGAACATCTCCATCTGCCTCACTATTGACCTCGGTCTTGAAAGGCTGAATTGTTATAGTTAGCTCTGAGTTTCTTTGATTTAGTACAACATATTAGCAGCTCTTCTTCATGTTTCAGAAACATGGTGTATTCAAATTCAAGCTTGTTATCCAATTGTAAATATTCTTGCTTAATGCAAATGTTTAGTGTGTTACAGATGAGCACCTTGCTCAGGAAAGTTAACACTTGATTATTGAAATAATAATGAAAGAAATTAATGTGGAAGAAAGAGTCCATACACTACTGGATTTAGGGGGGGTGAAGAGAGATACAACTCAGTAAGTGAATCCAGATTCTGGATTTATTGATCAGATTCTAGATTCAATGATCAGATTCTGCCTCAAGGATATATAAATGGCCCTTCAGTTTAAATATAACTACTTAATTAGCAAGGTAGGCTGTCCAAAGATAGATATGTTATCCCTAACAGCTGTTAACTCTTTTGGGCTGTCAGAGAATATCCTTTAATACCAAAGCTGAATGGACAAATCATCTACCTCTGAAGAGACACTATTTTCTTTTTTTTTTTTTAATTTTATTTATTTATTTGAGAGGTAGAATTACAGAGAGTGAGAGAGAGAGAGACAGAGAGAAAGGTCTTCCTTCCATTGGTTCACTCCCCAAATGGCTGCAACAGACAGAGCTGTGCCGATCTGAAGCCAGGAGCCAGGTGCTTCCTCCTGGTCTCCCATGTGGGAGCAGGCCCAAGCACTTGGCCATCCTCCACTGCCCTTCCAGGCCACAGCAGAGAGCTGGAATGGAAGAGGAGCAGCTGGGACTAGAACCCAGCGCCCATATGGGATGCCGGTACCACAGGCAGAGGATTAGCCTAGTGTGGCACAGCACCGGCCCCTGAAGAGACACTGTTTTCTAACCTGGACTCAGTCTTTACTGAAAGATGAAGACAAGAGGAAGACATTAAGATATAAAGAACAAGTCAAACTTCTGAAGGGTCGCTGACAGCTTCCACTCTCATATTCTACTTCCTCAGGTGTTCATTCAAAGACTACTTACACTAACTCTTTACTTCCTTGCCATTTTCTATCTCTATCCAAGCAATCCAGAAAGCCTTCTGGGTAATTGCATAATATTAACCAGACAAGCAAAAATCTTTCTTACTCATCTATCTAAGCTCAATTAAATAATCTTTCACTTTTCAAGGAGAGTAGTATATAGACTAAGATAAGCTTATTTGATCAAGTCTATAAGACAAATATGACTTCTTCAGTAAAAGAATATACAAAAGAATATACTTATATATCATTTTTAAAAGTTCTATTTATCTGAAAGGTAGTGTCAGAATGACACAGAAAGAGAGAGAGAGAGAGAAAGAGAGAGAGAGAGAGAGACAGATCTCCTTCCATCCACTGGTTCATTCCCCCAATACCCAAAACAGCTGGGTCTGAATCAGGAGGAAGCCAGGAGTTCCATCCAGGTCTCCCATGTGGGTGGAAGACACCTAAGTACTTGGGCCATCACCTGCTGCCTTCTCAGGCGTGTTAGGAGGAAGCTGGATCAGGATCAGAGTAGCCAGGGCTTGAATGAGGCACTCTTTTATGGGATGTGGGCATTCCAAGCAGCAGCTTAACCCACTGTGCCATGATGGCCACCCCACTGTTTTCTATCGCTGCTATAACAAATTATCACAACCTTTGTGTTTGAAAATAATACAAGTTTATTATTCTCATCCAGTCCTGGAGGTCAGACATTAGAAATCTGTTTCACTTGACTGAAGTCAAGCTGTTGGCAGGGCTGAGTCCTTTTCTTTTCTTTTCTTTTCTTTTTTTTTTTTTTAAAGACTTAGTTTTGGGGCCAGCACTGTGGCTGGCTAAGCCTCTGCTTGAGGCGCTGTCTTCCCTTTTGGGCACTGGTTTGTGTCCCAGCTGCTCCTTTTCTAATTCAGCTCTCTGCTTATGGTTTGGGAAACCAGTGGAAGATGGCCCAAGTTCTTGGGCCTCTGCACCTGCATGGGAGACCTGGAAGAAGCTTATGGTTCCTGGCTTCAGATTGGCCTAGCTCCAGCCATTGCAGTTATCTCAGGAGTGAACCAGTGGATAAAAGACCTTTCTCTCTGTCTCTAACTTTACTTCTCAAATAAATAAATAAATAAAATATTTTTATTAAAAAAGCCACCTCTTTCTAAAAAAAGAGACTTATTTTCTTTATTCGAATGCAGAGTTACAGAGAGGGAGAGACAGAGAGAGAGAACTTCCATATGTTGGTTCACTTCCCAAATGGCTGCAACAGCCAGGGCTAGGCTAGACTGAAGTCAAGAAGCAGGAGCCAGGATATTCTTTCAGGTCTTCCACGTGGGTGCAGGGGCTCAAGAACTTGAGCCATCTTCTGCTGCTTTCCCAGGTGCATTAGCAGGGAACTGGATTGGAAGAGGAGCATCCAGGACTGGAACCAATGCCCATAAGAGATGTTGGCATTGCAGGCAGTGGCTTTAACCCACTGTGTGGCAATGCTGGCCTCACATCTGAGTCTTTTGGGGGACTTAAAAGTGGGACTCAGTTTCTTTGCTTTTTCAACTTCTATAGGCAACACAGATTCCTTGGTTTGTAGCCTTACCTACACTTTTTTAAAAAATTTATTTATTAAGGAATACAAACTTCAAAAGTACAAATTTAGGAATATAGTTATTCTTCCCACCATACCTGCCTTCCCACCCACACTCCTATCCCTCCTCCTCCTGCATCCTCCTCCTTCCTTCCAGTCCCATTCTCAATTAAGATTCATTTTCGAATGACTTTGTACACAGAAGACCAACTCTATACTAAGTAGATTTCAACCATTTGCACACACCCACCCACCCACACACAAAGCTGTTTGAGAACTAGTTTTACAGTTAACTCTGATAATACAACTCTTTCCTCTACTTTTGAAGTCTTTCACTCCAACTTCAGTTTCAATCATCATATTGCCTTCTCCTTTGACTCCTCCTGTCTCCCTGTCATAATGAATGTTTTGATTATATGGGGCTACTCTGTTAAGCCAGGATAATCTCCTCATCCCAAAATCCTTAACTCAATCACATCTGCAGGGTCTCTTAACAAAACCTCTTGGGCCATCTAAGTTGACACCCACAGGTTCTACACTTCTTCAAATGGTACTCATTGTTAAATAATTCACAACTGTCATGTACCTGGACTATTCCTAAATTTTGAGGTGATATTCACAGGTTCTAAGACTAGGACACAGACATGTATGTACTTTTGTGGCCATTATCCGATCTACTGCAACATTTTAAAAATAAGTGCTAATATGGCCAGTGCCGCAGCTCACTTGGCTAATCCTCCACCTGTGGCACTGGCACCCCGGGTTCTAGTCCCAGTTGGGGCGCCGGATTCTGTCCCGGTTTCTCCTCTTCCAGTCCAGCTCTCTGCTGTGGCCTGGAAGGGCAGTGGAGGATGGCCCAAGTGCTTGGGCTCTGCACCTGCATGGGAGACCAGGAGGAAGCACCTGGCTCCTGGCCTCGGATTGGCGCAGCTCAGGCCGCAGTGCGCCAGCTGTAGCAGCCATTTGGGGGGTGAACCAACGGAAAGGAAGACCTTTCTCTCTGTCTCTCTCTGTCTCACTGTCTAACTGTCTAACTCTGCCTGTCAAAAAAGAAAAGACAAAAAAGTGCTAATTTATAAATAATTTATATAGTTATCAAGAGACACAGAATAGATGAATTTATTGAAATCCCTAGCAGAAGAGGAAAAAATTCCCCAATTTACTTTGCAGTACCTAAAACTGTTAGCTTGATGGGTAAAAAGTGTAAACTAACAGAGATACACAGTAATACCATGCTTCCTATCCTTAATAAAAGAGGGCTTTTACAGTGAGTCTTGAGATTTTATTTGAGTTTCTAAAGCAATGCTAAAAGATTTAATTTAAATGAGAAGGAGTCACATGTGGAGAGAAGGCTTGGCCCTCTTCAAAGAAGAGGTGCAATCCTTTATAGTAAGCAGATGACAAGTTACAGAAAATGAAATAGTCTTAGGCAAAATTTTCTAATAATCTATCTTATAGAAATTATTGTTATTTTATG